TTGAGATGTAAAAGCCTGATCTATAAGAAAATTTCAATCTACCATTGAATGACTGATTTACCATATAGGTCATCTACGCAAACGTACCTGACACTGACTCGTAAATAAGTAGATCAAGGTCATTCAATGCCTGATATACCATGAAGGCCTAAAGGTCATCTACCCAAACAAACCTCACCCTGACTCGCATATAAGCAAGTAGATCCTGATCATTTAAGGCCTGATCTACCATGAAGGCCTAAAGGTCATCTACCCAATTATACCCTACCCAAACATACCTCACCCTGACTCGCAAATAAGCTAGTAGATCACGATCATTTAAGGTCTGATCTACCATGAAGGCCTAAAGGTCATCTACCCAAACATTCCTGTCTTTGAGAGTAGATGCCATGTAAGATCAAGACAATAAAGGCACCCGTTAACTGGATGCGACCGAAGCTAAGCTCTTGATAATGAACGATAAGATTTATATACACAAGCGGAAGTCATGCAGGAAGTAAACTTGATAATGAAATCGGAGAAAACAATTCGTATAATTCACAGCGTAACAAGAATATTATAGTAAATGATGCGTAGTATGAATTATATCGAAATAATCAACAGTAATAAATATAAGATATATTAAGACCTGTCCCATGCAAGAACAAAACAAACACATGTATATTGTATGTATACTTAAGTAACACATTGATTGTGTCGATTGAAATGGGTAATAGTAAGATACAAACAAGCGTGTGCGGAAAAATAACTGGCAGGAAGAGTTGGTAGATGAATTAATTTCGAAAAATAATATTTACAGTGAAATCAAATAAACATGTTTCTAAACCGAAGTACAAAGAAGCGAAAATCATTATTATTCAGAATGTGAAGGTTATAGCTTGCATAAAAATAGCCTAAATAGGATCTGTTGATGTTTTTCCCAGTTATGAAGCAATTCTGACCATACACAACGAATATGAACATAATGATCATATATAAAAATATCTTTTATTCAAACCATACATTCACAGCAAAATTTTGACACAATGTCAAGAAATCTTTTATACAAACCATACTTTCACACCAATATTACCACCCAATATTAATATATTTTTTATTCACACCATACATTCACACCAAAATAATGATCTAATATCAAAATATTTTTTATTCGCACCATACATTCACACCAAAATCATGATCTAATATCAAAATATTTTTTATTCACACCATACATTCACACCAAAATAATGATCTAATATCAAAATATTTTTTATTCACACCATACATTCACACCAAAATCATGATCCAATACCAAAATATTTTTTATTCACACCATACATTCACACCAAATCATGATCCAATATCAAAATATCTTTTATTCCCACCATGCATGTACAGTAAAATTGTGACCAATATCAAAATATCTTTTATTCAAACCATACATTCACAGCAATATTATGATCCAATATCAAAATATTTTTTTTCAAACCATACATTTACAGTAAAATTATGATCCAATAGCAAATATCTTTTATTCACACCATACATTCACACCAAGTTTATGACCCAATATCAAGAAATCTTTATTGTAAATCAATAATCTTCGTAATGCGAACTAATGACCCATGCTTGTACCACAACAAGATCCCAGCTCACGTTTCCCCACGGTTTGTGCCCGCGGATTCCTTTTAGGGATCGTTTTTCCACCGGAAGCCCACCGGACTCCCCACAACGTCGCTAATAGAGGTGGATGCGGGACACCAGCTTCCCCAACTGGGGGGAAGTTTGGGCAAAAATGTGGTGGTGTGGGGATTTTGAAATTTGTGGAGGTTAACCACACTGAGGTACAAATTTGGGGAATCACTGTACACTGCAGCACAAACTTGGGGAAGTACAGCACACTGCAGCACAAACTTGAGGAGTACAGCACACTGCAGCACAAACTTGGGGAAGTACAGCACACTGCAGCACAAACTTGGGGAAGTACAGCACACTGCAGCACAAACTTGGGGAAGTACAGCACACTGCAGCTCAAACTTGGGGAAGTACAGCACAATGCAGCACAAACCTGAAGAAATTTAACACATTGTGGCACAAAATTATGCAAGCACAACACACTGTAGCAGGAAATTGTGCAAGCACAGCACAATGGGCACAAACTTGAGGAAGCACAGCTCAATATGACACAAAATGTATGACTATTTGAACACAATCTATGGTACCGCAATTTTTCGGCACTCACTCAACTGAAACAAAACATAAAATATTTAAAATATTGAGCGTGAAAATCGATTCTTTTTTTCGCACGCCCGCAATTGCACTTACCTCGTCAGATTTCTACCTAGAATGCATGTATCACGAAAGGAGAGCGGCCAATATTTGCTAATATTGATATTTTTAAAATTCACTTTAACCCATAACAAACAAATAAATTTAAATCTTTTTTCGTTGTAGAGGCGCAATCATCAACCGCTGTGGAGTCGCAATCTTGAATCGATGCAAAAGCGCAATCTTCAATCTTAGTCGAGAAGTTATTATTAAACGATGTAGAGGAGCAATCGTGAAGTTATAGAGGCGCAATCAACAATCGTTGCGTGAGCGCAATCTTGAATCGTCGTAGAGGCGTAATTTTGAATCGTTGTAGAGGAGCAATCATTTATCTTTAGGGTTAATAATTTTTGCGTTAACGTTGTATTTATCCTGTATTGAGACGTTGCAATCCAGCGCACTGGATTTGGCGTAAGCAACACTACGAAATAATAAATAATTATTACCGATTATGTAACAGAAAAATCAATTAGACCACAACAAATATCCAATTTTTTCCCTAATTAATTGGAAATAGTATCCATCAGACCAGCATAGGCCCGTATAATTCGACCATTAATCAATTTTAAACAAGATAAATCACATGACCGTGAATCAATGATAGTTAATGGGATCCTCAATAGTGAGAAGGATCTAATGGTGACCGCAAAGCCGCGGCTAAACGCGCTCTTCTGGAGACAAAAGACGGTTTAACCCGCGAGCCTCCGGCTATTCGGCTACAGCGAAAACAACAGCAACAGCAACCGCTGCTGTTGCTGTTAGGTTGGCGTGCATAGAACAACAGCAATTGCCTTTATCATGCTGTTAGGCTGACAACAACAGCAATTGCTTTTATAAAAGTTACCAGCAAAATAAAGGAGTTACTGTGCATAGAACAACAGCAATTGCTTTTATCAAATTTACCAGCAAAATAAAGGAGTTACTGCGCATAGAATGTGGCATGTGAGGCAGAATGTGGCATGTGAGGCAGGATTTGGCATTAGGACCTAATTATATGGCATGTGAGGCAGAATGTGGCATGTGAGGTAGGATGTGGCATGTGAGGCAGGATTTGGCATTAGGACCTAATTATTGTAGGGGTGCGGGGTGATAGTTTTATAGCCTGTTGAGGTTGCCCAGCTATGCAGCTCCAGACCATAAATTTCCAATGCAGGCCATAAATTCCTTAGCGTTCTGTCATGAAAATTGATTTTCTTAAATAAAACAAGATAAAATATAATTTTCATACAAGAAACGTTTGTTTTCATGTGTTGTATTTGATTTTCTTAAATAAAAATGGATAGAATATTGCTTTCATACATGAAACATTTGTTTTTATACATGAAACATTTGTTTCCATGTATTGTATAGATATTTGTTTTTGTGTATAATATTGTTGTAATCGAAACAATCTTTATTTTCCTATTTCTTTTTATGGAAAGATTGTTTTATTCAATACAATATTTTTTTATCAAATAAACATTATTGTAATAGATGGAATATTTCTCTTCATTTTTAAAGATTTTATTTAATTGATGAATATCGCAAAACTCGTTTTAAAATTCACAACGAAATTTAACAGAATAAAAGTTTCCAGTCGTATAAGAAAAAATATATCCCTCTTTATCCAATGGGATTATCGTTTTCATATACATATACGGGCTTACTGTGCATTCGTTATGGGTTTAGTTTTAATGTTATGGAGTTAGTTTTAATGTTATGCAGTAAGTCTTAATGTTCTCGGCAGATGAACATACAGTTTTATTTGACCAAGAAATCCAGCCAATTATTTTATCCTCTTTTTACTAAATTATTATTTTAGCTATATTTTCTTAATTATTTATATACTTATTATTATTATATTATTTATCTATCCAGCATTGTAATTCAGTATGCACGTTAATATGGCGATGCTCTCGCTACCTAACTGAACATTGTAATCGAATAAGTAATTCGTAATCATAATAACGATGTTTTTGCTGCCTAAGATTTTAATCACGAATATAATCAATTTGTCATCATAACCATGTCGCTCTCGTTATCTAATCAAACCTTGTAATCACTTTACCTATTAATTCGTAATAATTATAACGATGCTTTTTTCTATCTAATCAAACATTTTATTCGGTTAATCAATCGTTAATAATTATAACGACGCTTTTGCTATCTAATCAAACATTTTAATCACATTATCAATTCGTGATAATTATATCTGCGATTTCGCTATTTAATCAAACATTTTAATCACTTTATCAATCCTTAATAATGAACCCGAAGTTTTTGCCACCTAACCGAACAACTGCTGTTCAAAATGAGTGACTGTTGATGCTATATAATCAAACATTTTAATCACATTACCAATTCGTGATAATTATAACTATGATTACGCTATCTTACAAAACATTTTAATCGCTTAATCAATCCTTAATAATGAACCCGAAGTTTTTGCCACCTAACCGAACAACGTCTGTTCAAAATGAGTGGACTGTTGAACAGCGGCGCTGAACTGCTCACGGTGCTCACGGTAAAGGTGTTTATGCTCACGGTGCTCACGGTAAAGCTGTTTATGCTCACGGTGCTCACGGTTGAAACGTTTTTAAAGTTGAGAAGGGTTTAAAGTTAAAAAGATTTCAAAGTTAAAGTTTTTAAAGTTGAAATTTTAAAGTTAAAAAGTTAGTTATTAACCCGAAATTTTCTTTGTTTCAGGTAGCGATGGACGATGTGTTTGGTAACAGCAGTGGCGAGACGGTGGTCGAGTCTCCTTTTAACTTGACGCTGTCAGAGGGAGACCAAACTATTCCAGACGCGGAGAAAAATATAGAAGAAATTGCAGTCGGAGAACCGGATGCCGGTGTCACTCGAGTAGGAAACGCAAAAAACTTGTTTACTTCAGAAACAAAACAACTGCAAAACGTTCTTTTGCGCAAGGATGTCGAAAAAGTGCATTCGGAAAAAGATTTTCCAAAAATTTCTTTCTTGGATGATGAGTCTAAATTGAATGAACTCAAAACGGCCGCCGATGAATTCATCTCGAAATTGAAGAATAAAATAGTCGACTTGAACGACACGATTCAAGAACACAATGAGCAAAATTCTGAGAATCATCACCTCGAACAGAAGCTTCGTGATTTAGACGAAGATCTCTACATGACTCTCGACTCATTTACTACAAAGCAGAACTATGTGAATGACATCTCAAAAACTCCAGACGATGAGAGTGTTCAGATCAGTTCCAGTATTGAGGATTACTTGAATCACATGACTAAACTAGGTCACTTCCAGCGCTTTTTGGACCAGCAAAACGATGTTACAATGAAAATGAATAACGCTAGTGCGATTAAATTTTCTCCTAAAATGACTCGAGCTTCTTTTCCGGTATCCCCGTTGCCGAAACGACAAGTTTTGTCAACACAGCATGAATCATCTCCCGATAAGGTCACGCCAACTAGGAAGACAAGTTCTTTTGTTAGCGGTCTTCAACCTAAACCACGATCGCACGCAATGGCGTCTCTGGCCGCCAGACATCTCTACCAAAACTTACCAGCCCCTTCGATGATCAGACAATATTTGACCACGAGGAACCCATCAGCATCTCCCGCCGTGAAAAGTCCTAAAATTCCAGTTTACGTTAACGTTCCTGAACCTACGGGCTGGTCTAAAGTTCCTACAGCTTTGAAAGGCTCGTACGTAGAGTTGTGGGGCACAGGTAAACCACCCGACATGGCACACCTAGGCAACGAATTTAGCGATATTTTCAAACCCAAATCATCTTCCCTGCCACCCACCCCTTCAGCTCAGTCACCACAATGTCGTAAGTCCATTTCCCCAGCTTATGTGCAGATGAGCAGTCCGTATGTTCGTTCACCAGCGTCTTCAGTATTTGCTCAGCTGTCGAATAGCATAGCTTCTTACGCTGGTCACGCTCCTCAGACGATATTCTGTCCTCTGTGTCCTCGACAGTTCAGCTACGAAAGAGCGCTAGCAAACCACATCCAGAAGAGTCATAGGCTGGAACTTGAAGCAATGGTGGATGATCATGCACAAGATTTAAACCTTTACTCTTGTCCGGTCTGCCAAGCTCGATTCTTTAACAGCTCAGTACTACCGAAACATCTCATGGACTGTCACAAAGATTCTCTCATTTCCCTACTTGAGAAACACCGACGCATTGTAATAAAAAGCAAAGGCATGCAATGTCCTTTCTGCGTCAAATGCGTTCCTCCAGGAATAAACGGCGAGCACATGTTAATGTTTCACCTACAACAGTATCACGCTAGGCACTTCGAGGAAATGATCAGCTCTCTTTTCAAAGTTTCCAATGAAGATGCTGTAAATACTGTTAATTACACTAACAAGAGAACGTGGTTGGAAGGAAATACTTCTTCTACTCCAGGCTTGAGCAACAGAATGGTGTCCATGATGGTCTCATCGGACTCCAAAAGAAAGCTGGAAGAATTAGAGAAAGAGGAGACTTGCATGAATTCCTCCGTAATGCCTACGAAGACACCAAAAGTCTTTGAAAAGTCAGAACCCAGACGATCAGCGAGCAAAGGTATTCTCCGACGTGATAAAAATTGCGTCGATCGCCCGAACGTCAAACGGGAGTTGCGTTTCAGTGTTCCACATGTCACAAAGGAAGAAATTTACTATCCCGAATCACCTGGTCCTGTTACTCCTGACTACACCGAACGCATTGATCTGAACACTTTTTCCTACCCAGAAAACAGATTGGTGCCCGTTATGCAAACGGTACTATCATCTCAAGAAGATTTTGATGCCATAACAACGGAAGAATCAATCGACATTAGCCAGCAAGGAGCTCGAAAACGAAGAAAGCTTGGACTGAGTATCCGTTCCAAAAACATTTTTAAATGTAAGGACAAAGAAAACCAGGAAGGAAAGACCGAAGATAAGGAAAACCAACAGATTTACATGACGATGAACAGCAGAAGCTATAGGAGACCACCAAAACCAGTAGCTCCTCCTGTGATACCACCATCAAAGTCAGGAGGCGGTTCGCCGTGCGCATCGAAATTGCATTCAACTTCTTTATCTGTATCTTCCACGAACAATTCTCATGCCATTGACGACAGAAACGAACATCACACTGAGACCAACCACAGTGTAGAAAAAAGAACCAACGAACATGATTCCGAAACTGACGGACCTCCCTTGGAAACGGGCTTCTCATCTTCCGTAAAACTGTACTCGCCCTTACGCCTGTTTCGGTGCAACGGCTGTCGTAACAAGTTCTGCGACAACGACTCCCTTCTGGTGCACATTAGCCAACAGCACCGGGGGTTCTTATCCCTGCTGAGACCACAATTTGGTTGTGGGGTCTGCTCAGCTAAGTTCTACGAGAACAAGCATCTTGTAAAACATTGTCTTCAGAACCACTTTTCTCTACTGGAGATCAGAGCAGCGTCGGGTGAAGTGGTACCCTTCGTCAACTTGAGTCGCGTTGACCCTAACAAAGTTAAGCTTAGAGGTTCAATGCGTGAAGTTAAAATGCCTGTAACTGCACTTTGAAAATAAGGTAATGCGTCAATGAAGCCTGCTTTTTTATCAAATCTAAAACGCTTACTCTGAATCACGTACATATATACTGGCTCAAAAAATGTATCTGCGAAACATTTAAATTGAATTCATTGACAAGTTTTGAGGTTTTGGACCAAATGAAAAAAAAAATGTTTATATTTATTCAAATTTCACTTCAAATAGTCTAAAAGGGTCTTGCCCTGAAATTTCAACAAAAAGATGTACATATTAAAGTTACTTTGCTGCGTTGGCTGCTAGATCCTTCAGTATATCTATACCATTCTTCCTCTGAAATTATCAAGTTGATGTCTTCATCACACATTTTCAAATTGATTTTCATTTGCTCTCGACGTCCTTAACTTTTCATACTTATATTTTGGGTCCCCCATTTGAGTAACAATTTAATATTTTCGCGCTATTCAATTAAAGTAAATTTAAATTTATTACAACTTTCAAATTAGGCACTTTATCATCTGGTCGTTTCAGCTAATATAGTTTCCTTTATTATGTCTTAATTATTCTTTACTCTAAGTTGTTTTTCGCTCTTCTTCGTTCTTTAACATTAACATTTCATCAGGCCTAGTTGTAAGGGCTTTGTAAACTATTACCAAAATATGGTCATGCCATAGCGAAAAAATTCCAAATTTATTTATAGTTCCAAGTCCAAGACACAATACCTAATTGAAAATATCTTCTAATATATTTTGGTTATAATACAAAATTTCTAATTTTAAAAGCCTGGCAAGCTTTGGCCTTAGGTTATAATCCAACCCTTTCCAGAGATAGGGTTAAAATCCAACCAGAAAAAAAGCTGCGTTACGGACCTTCGCTATGTGTAACCGAAAAGAAATTTATTTCAGTTTTTCTCTAAAAAACAATAAGATTGTTTGTTTTGATCGTTACAAAATTATAAATCATCCCATTTTTTGAGTTTTTTGTGTGTTGTTCTTCACTAACCTGTCCTAACATTTACATTATGTCTTTTTACGAGTAATAAGCACAAGAAACTTCATTCAAAAATAAATTTTGTTGCCAACCTAAAATTTCGGCCACCTACGGTGCGGTCTATTAAATTTGCAGGGCGCGTCTTTGCAGATGCAGCAACAGAAATTCAGAAATGTATCAAAATTTTTTGCTCTTGTGAAATTCATAGACCAAAACCATGCAAACATTTTTACTTGTGTTGTTAGAGAATTTTCGGATTAAATCGAAAGTCAAGGTGATTGTCTGCACATTGATTCTGTGTGGGTTATAGAATAAGTAATTTTGCAGTGTTTTGTACTATTTTTCTTAACTACTAACGATCTTGAGGTTTTCTAATAAAAACTGCTTTTCTATTGTGCCTTCATATCCTTTGCAAATTTGTTTAAGTGCAGTGTGGAGAAATTCAAAATTGTGCTATTTTCGGTTGAGAAGCAAAACAGGGTGTCGTCCAGCAGGCATGTTGAGGGATGATCAACGTTGAATTAAACACAACGTTCAAATCCAGTCTTTCAACGATAGAATAATTAGTTCACGACGTTTTAATCTTGTTGATATTTAGTTGAATTCAAAGAAATCATTCCTAGAACGTCATGTAGACGTAAGATCACCTCTTTGAATTAACGTAATTCATGCGACGTTGTTTCATCATTAAAATAATAACGTTCGTCTCAGAATTAGTTCTAAAAATTCGAGTAGTTTATTTTGAGAAGATTAATTCGTATTGTTGTCCTCAATTGTTTCATTCTTCAATTTATCGCCTTTAAATTATCGTAAAATTAGAACCGGAAAGGTTTGTATACGACTCTTACAGAGGCTTTTTCTGATATTTGTATCTATTTATCATCAAATGATAAGAAACTTAATCCCAAAAAATGTTTTCGAAGTCGCAGATTTCCCAAAAAATGTTGACAATCGTCCCATTTATCATCAATGTAGGGACAACAATCAATGGATCAATGTCCGATCATTTTACAGATCATTAGCAGAGAAAAAGATCATTGAAGCGTGGGATTTGTTGGGAGAACGAAGCCGGGATTTTTTCAGAAATTCGGGCCAATTTATCGCTTCATTTTGGGATTACGCGCACGAGTCTTTCAGGAAAAATCGGGGAAGAGCGGCTGGAAAAAAGCCTATATGAGTCAAAATAAATAATAACCTAAAGTAATCGTCATTTTATGAATAAAATAAAATAAAATTATGAAAAAAAAAATCAGAATTTTTTATAATATGATATTAAAAACTTGCGTTAAGCAAGTTTTTTTTTTTTTTTGAAATGAAAATACGATTGTGGTATAAAATGGTTTTGAACTTCAGTGAGAAACGGGGAATTTTGATGCGATATTTATATATAATAATTTAATATGATTTAAATAATGTACAATTTAGATCCACTTAGGAATGAAATTTCAGATATAATTGCCAGAAGCTAAAATTTGTTTTGCTGACAAAAATGCGCGTTATAATATGAGAAAAATTTTCAGAGGAAAAGTGTGCAGGGAAAATGGAAAATTTTGAAAATTAGCAAGCTTTATGAGGCCATTTTGAAAATTAGCAAGTTTTATGAGACCATAAACATAAATTCAATCTAAAAGATTTCTTAAATTAGTGATATTGAGAAAATTTGAAGAATTTATTAAAAAATACAAAGAATTACAATAGTGCAGCCATAGTCTCCCCTAGCAGGAAAAATAGCTGCTTATGAGAACTCCTTCAAAATTTGTATTTTAATGATATCAAACTGAATTCAGTATAAAATGTTCCCAGCCAAACGAAAATATTATACACTAATATCTAAAATCATTTCCGGTGTATAAGTACACCCATTGTACCTGCTTTGACCCTGGTTTCTATGTAACTGCGGTTTCAACAGAAGTGAATAACTCGAAAAACCGGCTTCTGGTTTCCCAAAACCAGCTATTCCTCCTTGAAAAACTATTGTCACCGAAACTCCTTCAAGAAACCAACGCTAGTTACGAAAAGTGGTTCTTCTGCATTGCATTCACGTTGGAAACTCGTCCTAACAAAGGTTGAAGTGGTGCTACCGCATCAACTTCAGCTGGAAAATCAACACATTCAATGCCTGGGTAATAACATAATATAATAACATAATAACAACAAATAACAAATAACATAATCGACAACAAGAATATCAACTTCAACACAATTCATAACCGCAGCAACGTCAACAAGAAAATCAACACATTCAACGCCTCGGTAACTGACATGGAGGAACTTCAACGTATTTGCCATCACGCTGAATTCGCATAGAAGAAAGCACAAATAACACAATCGACAACAAGAATATCAACTTCAACACAATTCACAACAGCAGCAACGTCAACAAGAAAATCAACACATTCAACGGCAACTAACATCGAGGAATTTCAACGTATTTACCATCACGTTGAATTCGCAGGGAAGATCGCACAAATAACATAATCGAAAACAAGAAAATCAACTTCAACACAAGTAATCGACATTCAGCTTAAGAAATCCAGATAATCGCGAAATGTATTGATGATTTCGGGAACGCGCGTCGTTCAATAAAGCGCAATTTCATGAATGACGTCGGCAACGTTAAATGGTTTGACGTTAGGCATCTCGCAGGAGCGTAGTGAGCGCTACTTCAATGAACCTTGTGAGTAATGAAACTTCAGTGAATGTATGAATGAGTATGAGAAATGAAGATCGTGCTCCTGGTAGCGTGTGAACACATATGAGTATCAAGTTTAACGTATTCAGTTCATAGTGAAGCGAATAATGCAGTATCCTGCTAGGAAAATGCTATGTATGAGATGCAAATAAGGCAAAATTTAAAATTTGCAAATTTATAAACAGTAAATTTTGCATTAGAGCCTGAAACATTATAGAGCCTGAAATTTATTGTATGCCTAACAGTATAAATTTAAGAATAAAGGATAAAACTAAAAAAGTTGCATAAAACAGTATAAATAAACTGGAAGAAGATGATCAGTTAAATCACATTTAAAACTGAAGCAATTTGAAATCCAAGGTAACGGGCGTTTAGAAAAATGTCACTTCAAGTGACATTTTTCAAATTGTATGACAGTGTTTATTTTATGCCTAACAGTACAAATAAATTGAAGGAAGATGATCTGTTGAATCGCATTTAAAACTGAATGAATTCAAGTGTTGCTTCGGTTAGAACAGGAATTCTGTTAACAAGCCCTCACCGTTCAACAGCTGCTATAGGATCGGTGTCGTCTGTTCAGTGAATTTTTATGGGGCAATGAAACGGCAGTAAAAGGTTCGGTATGCAGGGGCGTTTTTGTTTTGCTGTTGTGTGGTTAGCAAGCGTAAACAATCGCAGCAGCAGTGACAATTGCTCTTATTAGAACATTGTTAGACTTTCCATACATCGATTGAGGTAACGATGCTGTTAGAAAAAAAAATATTGCTCCTATATGCACATTGTTAGACTTTCCATACATCGATTGAGTTAACGATGTTGTTAGAAAAAAAATATTGCTCTTATATGCACATTGTTAGACTTTCCATATATCGATTGAGTTAACGATGTTGTAAGAAAAAAAATATTGCTCTTATTTGCACATTATTAGACTTTCCATACATCGATCAAGTTAACGATGTTGTTAGAAAAAAATTAAAACACTAGAACATGTACTTCACTTCAAGCACGTAGCGTAAATTTATGTAATTATTTTCAGCAAGATCAATGTTGAACATTAATTTTGCACATGTTTTTGCTCGAGCATTGATCTAGCACGTGAATTTTGTGATGCTAGAGCATTAGTCTTTTTCGTTAGCAGCCGTTTATTTTTGGTACACGTTTTTGTCCTTATATATTTTTGACGATAGCCTTGGGCTTATTCTCACATCCAAGTACTTCAATCTAGAAAATATCCATCACGATTTTTTATTTTTATTCTGTATAATATACTTGTTCCTCTAACGGTGAGCGAAATTTCGCTTTTTCATCAATATCTAACAATCTCTTCTTGGTAAAATAAATTTACGCTTCAATATTAAATATCCTATGGTATTTTTCAGGTCAGTATTAGGCACTCGTTATCCAGTTCGTTAATAAATTCGTTAGATATTGAGTTCGTTATTGAGTTCGTTGTTGAGTTCGTTATTGAGTTCGTTATTGAGTTCGTTGTTGAGTTCGTTATTGCGTTCGTCCTGGATTCCGTTATTGACTACGTTATTGAACACGACGTGGTTGAAAGCAAACGGCTGCACTGTGAAACTTCTGAACGAAGGTTTAGTTTAGGAACTAAAGTTTATTACGCAAGGTTTAGGAACAAAAGTTTTATTACTTACGGAGGCTTTGGCAAAAAGCATTCACTGCAATACAAGTCATGTGCATGTCCACTGTTTCTAGTGTTTAAGTCGAAGAATGGTGATTTTTTCTCGCTGAAGGTAGAGTTCTTTTATTACGTGTATGGTTCTCCTTACCTCCTATACAATGTGGCTTTCTAAAAAAACTAATTTTTTGAGCATTTTATGGTCACCCTTTCAACATGAAGCTATGAAATATATTAGCACGTTTTTCTCTCAAAAACATTAGACTCAGGAAGCTCTGTTCTCTCATTAAATTCATTTATGTTGGTCCGAATTAAAATGCGAATAAGAATCCCAGTATATGTGTACAATGATATATGATTCATTTTATGTTTTAGAACTAATGAGAATGTGTTCATTATAAACCTGCAGAAAATGTTTACAATATCCATGACTTATTATGTAATAATGTATGTCCCAAAAATACTGTTATAATAATTATAATTTTTAAAGAAGAAAACATGCTAAGCATTGACGCATATGTCAGAAATTTGTTTAAAAATATAAGATATAAAAATAAGTCCCAAATGTTGTACAAGATTGCACAACACAGTCTACAGGGGAATAAAGTATTAAGAATAATTTATTAATTCAGTATTAAGAATAAATAAGTGTTCATAACTCCGTCAGCCAATCACTGAAGGCTTCTCAAGCTAAACCTACCAATCACAGACAAGAAATTGGCCGCTGCGTAGACTTAGGCGAGTTTTTATAGTACGCCTCATATACAGACTCACATATAACATATTCCTAAACAGCAGCAATTAAACGTATTGATATATGATATATGCTATATATGAAATATGTTATATAATACATGATATATGCTATATGATACATGATATATGATATATGATGTATGATGAATGATGTATTATATATGATAGATGATAGATGATATCTGATATATGATTTATGCTATAAGATATATGATGTATGATATATGATATATCCTATAAGATATAAAGGTGATCAACGCCCCTAGACTTCCCGGGTATAACGACTAATTATTTTCGCCAAGTGCT